TGACCCGCAGCCATAGTGTATACATATGCATAAAAGATAGTTACTGTACCTTGTTCCACGTATTGTGAACTGCATTCTGGCCCCACTCACCACTAAAAGACCTCAACAAGTAGCATTTCTGGCTGCAGCTTTGGCTTATTGGGAATGGTGCGCAACATTCCTCACATGTTGCGGCCGAAACATTTAGCGAACAAAATCCAGCTATGGCGCGGGTAGGATTGTTTTTGGTGTGTTTGGATTGTTTCCAGTGGTTCTGTGGGAATTTGGGCATCATGTGCGACATGTTGCGGAACATATGCGAAGAATCTTGCTACTGTTGCCCAACCTGGACGGCTGTTTCCAATAACTTTCACTTTTGGGGTGGACTGAAATCAAGACTCCCACCCATGTTGATAATTTGCTTTCCTGTGATTGGCTTGGCTCAGTTCGCGGTTGGTCAACATTTCACGGAATTGAAGGAACATCAATTGTATGCAAATGGACTAAAATAGAATTGATTGGAACTGCGCAAGGACATGGAGCAGCTTTATTTATAATTGACGCAGATTGCAATGTCATATAGCAGTTCAGACAGGAATGAATTCCTCTCCCAAAAATTGAAGGCTTGCTGAATTTCCCTGCAAATTGATGGGAGTAAAAGAACGATAACGGAGCTGTTACAGGCACGCTGAAGCTGCCAAAGTGTACTTTGCGTGCTACTCTTGTACTGACACGTTGCGAGCAGCTGTCAATGGCTTACTACAAGTGGATGAGATTCAAGACTCAAGATGCTGGACAATGGATGTCCAGGAGATCTTGAATCTGTGAGCAACATGTGCCTCAAAGTGGCTTCAAATCATCGCTTCCCAAGATAACACTGACAAATGCAATTTAGGTAGCGCCGGGTAGCGCATAATATACTTATAAAGGTCTGCTAAAATATATATATATATATATACATATATATATATATACACATGTAGGGAGACAAAGCAAAGGGGGAGAGAGAGAGAGAGAGAGAGAGAGAGAGAGAGAGAGAGAGAGAGGCGGAGGCGGAGGCGGAGGCGGAGGCAGAGGCAGAGGCAGAGGCAGAGGCATTCAGAGAGAGAGAGAGAGAGAGAAAGAGAGAGAGAGAGAGAGAGAGAGAGAGAGAGAGAGGGGGGGAGCGAGAGCGAAAAAGAGAGAGAGAGAGAGAGAGCGAGAGGGAGAGAGAGAGAGAGAGAGAGGGAGGGAGAGAGGGAGGGAGGAGGGAGGGACACGCTTGCTGTTCCAAGCGACATCCTGTCAAGGTCGCAGGTGGAAAGGTTATTTTCGATTCAGATCCAACGCAGCAGGAGTAGGGACCATGAAAAGGCGTCTGACATGGGGCCTTGGAAGCACCAAATGCGTACAGCATTAGTATAGCACAGCCTTTGCAACGACTATACCCCAGCCAGTGCGCCCTGGATTTGGACGCATGTAATTCAGTTGCGCACAACATGAGTTATGCAACTGAAGGCCCACCTGAACGCATCGTTCTCAGCCAGCCCTCCAACACTGATGTCGTGCAAGGTATCAGTCTAATTGTCCATCGCAACGTGTTGCTCCCGGAAGATGACTGGTCCCGCAAAACATTCTTTACTGTGTTTCCGGTGGCTGAAACCCTGGCGCTGACATGGGCATGTGTCAAGATACAGAGACCGCCGCAGCAGTTGCCTACGACTGAGCCACTCAATGTGCCGATCTTGAATCTGTCAGGCGTTCAGGTACTGGCAAATGCTTTCAGAAGATAGCAATGAGTTTTGGCGACCGCTTCAATCATTTGATCAGCCGCGCTGTTCCCTATATTTGTATGGAGATGAAGTGACCCCAGGCAATCCTTTAGCTCCTGGCAATAGACTCAACACTTGTTTGCTTCTACGTCATGTGCGACTCGATGCTGCCCATTTAATGGGTGTTTTTCCTTTTGGCTTGTGTCTAAGCAATCCCAAAAAGGGGACACCCCCCCAACACAAAACACACACGTCGCATGTTCCATGGAGCCGCGCTGTTGCCAGGTCCATGAGGCTTGGAGCCCAGTCGAGTCGAGTGGGTGAGGGGCACTCGAAAGGATGGGATCACCCAAAGGGATGGGTGGGGGCGTGCCAGAATGAGTGGCCCTACGTTTGCAATACCTGAGTGGGCATGGGGCAGGTGTGCCTGAAGTTGGGGACATTGGAAGTAGGAAGCTGCTGCCATTTGCAGCCCCTGACTTGTTGAGACGCGAGCAAGTGTTGCTTTTGGGGAATCTCTTGTTGAATGAGAGGGGTGTGACCTTCTGGTGGTGCAAAAAGCTTTGACCCCATGTGATGTGCTGTCGGTGGAGGCTGCCGCTGTGACACCGGCATTCCCCTCAAACCAAATGCTGCAGATTGTTTTTTTGGACCGCTAGGCCTCAGAGGAGAAGGCACCGGCCGACAGTGCGAGTTCGTGGTTTCCTGTGGCCCGCATCCGCACTTGCATGAGCAATAACGTGTTAACATTGTCACTTTGTTTTGAAAACAACCAGCCATCATGTTTTCTAGGGATCTCTGGGGTTGTGGCGAATTGTCAGAAGCCTTTCGCAATTGATGGCCTTACAAGCTATTGAATGCATGCATTCGACATCGTCGGAGCGAACTTTGAAAATAAACCTCCCGAGTTGTCACTTTGATGTTTTGAAAGTATCCAGCCGAATCATTTAGTCTTAGTTAGACGTGCCGACCCATGTTTGTGCTGGCCCATGTTTGAGGCGAAGCAATGCTTAGTTCAGTTCAGCACCTTTCATACAATTCGGGGACCACAGACCTCGGGCACTGAAGTGGGGTATGTGTCAAAATGGGGAGCCCTTCAGTCTAACCTCAAAGAAAGTTGGGGCACCGCGGGTGCGACGCCAGGTCGTCAAGAACGACTCCCTCGGCTATGTGAAAGGCGTTGGGGAGATGAAATGGTGTTTCCATTTACTAGGGTCCCATTTTGGGTACCTGTTTTTGACCCACAGCCAAATGACCCCAGTTTCTCACTTGACAAGCCCTAAACAGCCTAAACAATCATGCGCTATTTGGCCCACACAGATCCTCAAGATCACCGGTTTGTGGAGACGTCCTTTGTGCAGCACCCGTGCATCACTTGGTGAGCAGCGAAATTATGTTGTTGGTCCGCTCATGAAGGGCTTCTCCTTCAAAGCCTCATTATTCTTACGGAACATGTGACTAGGGCTCCTTAAAAGACATATGTTGCCCAATTGAAAACATGGCTTTTTCCACCAAAATAAGGGGACACCACCATTGACAAGGCAATGTTCAGGTGTATAATGTAAGGATCCCTGTGTGACCTACATTTACCGGCCTTTTGCAGTTCTGATGCGGTTCACTTGCAAAAGCTCAGGCATCCACCATGAAACACCTTTCCCCATGTCCCCATATCCTTGAATTTTCACCACACGCAACACGGAGCGTGTGGCTATCTCCGGCCAGGTCGTCCGCCGTCAAAGGCTCTCACCAACAAACCCTGAGCCGCGCGGTTTCTCCGGCGACCCACGGAATGACGGGCGACCCATTTCGCCGGACTGTGGCTGGCGAGGAGCCTCGTGATAGATGAACGGATCAGGCCGCCGCAGAACGATGTTTGTTGGGAGATTCCGGGCAACGATCCCCATCTCTGATTCTTGACAAGCCCATCATTTCAATCCAAGCATCGCGATGAGCAGGAGAGATCAGCATCCGCTGAAGGGGGATTTTCGACAAGTGCAGTGGGCATAGATTCCAGGATGGAGACGAGGTTGAATGGGTTGCAGAGCCGCGGGCGTGGACATGTTGGGGCGCCAATGGGAGGAACAGATGAAGACACTTTCAAGAATGCCCCGAAGCTTGTATCATTCATCTCAGGTGCCTGAACTACGGTAATTCATCCGGGTAGATTTGGATAGATGTTTTGTGTCCTGAGAATGGGACCCCTTTTGCGATGGCTGTATTCTGGAAACACACATACAGTTACATTGAAAGACATCCTTGGGAATCCCTGCAGGCCAATCACACAGAGCGTTGGGATCCTGGCTGCCAGCCGATAGGAAGCATTGCCCGTCAGCCGATGTATTTTCTATTCGTTTCATTGAAACCGGACAGACCACAGGTTTGAAAGGGGTGAGCTTTGTGGGTTGCCGGATTGAGGGCGATTTTCCAGCTGAGAAGCTAGAAGGGAGCATTCGTTATGCCGTCAATGTGCTGATCTGGATCTTGGCAGATGAAGTGGGTTGGCCATTCATCAGTGACGGTGAAGTGGACGTGTGGTCCATGAACCCAACATCCCCGATGCTGGCTTCTTACTCTGTAAGTGTAGCGTGTTGCCTGAAATCTGGCAGCGGCTGTGAAAGACTCACGCCGAAAAAAACCGCTGCTTCCGTAGTTCCGTCTGAAACCAGCCATCTATGGCCGGTTCGCCCCATTTTTCATTGCCAGCCGAATGCCGCAGGCCACCAGAGGCCCCGCACACCTCGGCCTTCTTTGTGAGAGCTGGGAATCGGAAGGGGGGAAGCAGACATCTCGGGACTCACTTCTCCACTTGCAACGGTTGATCGTGCTTCTTTGGATCAAAGTTTCCACTGGCGCGCGCGGTTTTGAGCACTTTTGAGCCCGCAGGAGGTTCAAAGGTCACAAGGGAAGGTGCCCTGAAGCTGGAGGCTTTTCGGGGGTGTACCAACGGTTTGTGAGGGCTTCATGAACTGCCTCAACCAATGGCGTGGCCCAAGTCTCTTTAGTTAAGGTTCCAGCAAAACGCACTTGGGACTCAGCCCCCTTAGAGGCCTGAAAGACCGCTCCGATGCGAAGGGTGTGGCAGGGAGTTGACTCTTGTTTTGTTCTTCTTTCTCGTGCTGGTGACAGGGCATCTCAACTGGAATTGATATTGTTGCAACCCAGAGCCGGACACCCGAAGTGTAGGAGGCTGAAACAACTACTTCGAGAACATGTCAAGGCTGTGCATTACCTGTTGCTACATACATGCTTCGCCGACTTCATCTCCGCCGCAGCTTATTGACTCAATGCTTGTAGATGTGCCTCCGATTTCCCTCCCAAGGCTCGGCTAGTTTGCAAGAGATAGACTTGCCAAAGCCGGGATGTGTTTGCCAGCGTTTGCTGTCCTCAGTCGTACTCAACAAGAGGATGGCAACAAAAATCGCGCCCCAGTTGTTCAAAAAAGATCGCGCCCCAGTTGTTCGGCCATGTCCTGTTCATTCCGTTTTAATTTTTTGGTTGGGTTCCCCACCAATGGCAACTGGGAGTTCCTTGAGTGCCACTGTCACCGGTTCTCAGCCGGACCGGCGACCGGACAAGCACGCTTTGGGGAAACCCTCCGCGCGCCAGGAGCCCGCAATGGATCCGTACAAAGTTCTCGGAATTCCACAGAGCCAGGCATGGCCCGTTTGGAGTTTCTTGAACTGGCGGATGAGTTGGTTGAGAAAAGGGAACCAAAACGAAGCCGTGGCCATGTTAGGGGGACCCCTGTTTTGAGAAACACCTGTACCTGGCTACCTGTGATGATAATACCTCGAAAGGTTGGTGGGAGAACGAAGAAGCTCACAGAGTGCTTATTGCCAAAGCCCTGCCCATGACAGCTGAATGATTTTCCAGGAGTCATTCAAGAACAGGACAGTTCATGTGTTATGTGTGAGACGCGTGTGGGGGGGGGGAGAATTCACACATGCACGGAGCCTGTGGTTTCGTTTACTCGTTCCCTTAGATGTTTTTGCGCAGAGGTGAAGCACCCTAGCGACCTGGACAAGGTTCGCCAAAGAGCCAAGAAGCTGCCGGGGCCCCTTCAGAGCAAGGCGGTCACTTGGGAGGCAACGGGCTTTCACCGAGGTACAAAAGATATGCTGGCGAGCAGAACAAGTTCCAGATGAAGAAGGTCATGGAGGCAGTCGCGGAGACTACGTATCTTGTTTGGCGGGGTCCCCAACTAAATTTGTCAACCCAACAACCCTTCTTCCACCAACGTCACTGGTTGTAACTGGGTGAACCCTAACCTCGAGAATGTGGCAATGCATGTGTTCGGTGCAGTGACAGAGCTGAGAGGCCTTTGACATGGTGAAGGGCAACATGAAGAAGTGCCCTGGCTGAGGTTGATGTCCTGCATTCTTCATGGCTTGACAACTGTGATATCCAAGCTTGCCCATGTCAGCAGGCGTGAAAAGGGGTTTCGTTGTGAGAGATGGAGAGAGAATCCGAACATCAACAACGCAGAGAAAGGGAGATAAAAGATAAGGGAGAGAGCGAGAGAGAGAGAGAGAGATAGACATAAACAAGATGAACAAAACACAATAACTGCAAGAAGAAAGAAACTAAAGAAAGAACATCAACTAAACGAAGACAGAAGGAAAGAAGGAAAGAAAGAAATAAGGATAAAAAGGGGGAGAGAGCGCGAGAAAGGAAGGAAGGAAGAACTAACGATAGAGATAGAGACAGAGAGAGCCAGACAGAGCAAGAAACCACGGCAACTAGCTAAATAAAGAATATAGTCATTTATGTTTAAACAAAACAAAAAAAAAAACGGGCGATATCCCCAACAGCACCACACCCTCCCAGAATCCTCGCGGAACGCCCCGGGAGCATCCTTACCGCCGGTGTTGCTGAGGATGCCGCCTTGTAAAGCAAAGCTACGAGTGACAGCGCAATCTCGCCCTGATCGGGGCCCGACGGCGCAATTGGGGCCCGATCGGGGCCCGGCGCAATCGGGGCCCGATCGGGGCCCGACGGTGCAAATCGGGGCCCGATCAGGGCCCGACGGTGCAATCGGGGCCCGATCGGGCCGACGGTGCAATCGGGCCCCGATCGTCCCGTGGCAACCCCAGCCACCCATATTATAGCTCAACGCCGGTTTTCCTTCAACTGCATCTATAGCAAAACTGGGCGATGCCAGCTTGGTACAATTGACCGATCGGGGCCCGACGGCGCGATCTGATTTGCCACAAAGCCAACATTTGCCTGAGCAAGTGAGCAAGTCACAAAACAGTGAAAGTGTGCTAAAAGCCATTGATTTCGGTTTTGCTTTGTGTTCCGCCCATGAGCAAAGCGATCTTGATCTGATGGCTTTTCAGACGACGGGCGCACGACACACCCTTGGTGGAGCATTGTGCACCCTTGTGGAACCCGTGTGGAGTCCTTGCAGAGCTTTGTGGAACGCTGTGAAACCTCAGGGCCCACAGCCCTCGCAGAATGTTGTGGAACCCTGAAACCCTCATACAACCTTACCTCAAACCACCCCGGACCACCCCGCGGCCCTCGCAGAACCTCGTGGGACCCTGCTAGAACCGTGCTGGAATGGAACCTTACCTTGCAAAACCTGGTGAATTCTGGTGGAAGTCTCATGGAACATTACCTCAAACCAGCCCGGACCGCTGGTGGAACCCTGGTGAAACCCTGGTGGAACGCTCGTGGAACCTTCTCCGGACCACGCCGCACCCTCGAAGAAATTGGTGGAACCCTGGTGGAACCCTCGTCCGGAACACGACAACCCTGGTGGAAACCTGATGGAACCCTCGTGGAACCTTACCTCAAACCACCTCGGACCACCCTGCAGCCCTCGCAGAACCTAGTGAAAGTCTGGCAGAATTCTGGCGGAAATCTGGTCAACCCTCGTGGAACCTTCCTCAAACCACCCCGGACCACCCTGCAGCCCTGGTGGAACCCTCGTGGAACCTTACCTCAAACCACCCAGACCACCCCGCAGCCTGGAACTGGAACCCTGGCGGAACCCTCGTGAAACCTTCCGCAAACCCGCAGCCCTCGAAGAAATTGGTGGAACCCTGGTGGAACCCTCGTGGAATCTTACCTCAAACCACCCCAGACCACCCCGCCCTTGCAGAACCTGGTGGAACCCTGGTGGAACCCTTGGTGGAACCCTGGTGGAACCCTGGTGGAACCTTAGCTCAGGGTCGCCCCGAACCACCCCGGAGCCTATCTGGGCTGAGACCCCAAAGCTTTCAGCTGTTGGGGGAAAAAATGAAGAAGACAAAAGCAACATGCCACAGTCTGAACTGTGTCAATTCTTGGCTACATGACATGTGTCCACGGTTGCGCTTCCGCCGCACTGAAGTCATCTTCTAGATTGACCTAGCTTCGGACATCAGCGTGTGCTATTAGCGGTCAGCTTCAGTTCCACTTTCATCATGATAGCGCGCTAGAGTGAGAGGCAGGGTGAGGGAGAAATGGCAGGTGGAGAAAGATAGAGAGAGAGATGGAAAGAGATGGAGAGAGATGGAGATGTTGCTTCATGTTCCGTGTGAGCACAGTTGTCATGATGCTTTTGCTGCGGTGTTCATTGGCACACACCTTAGGATCGGTGAAGGAGCTTACAAGCTCCTAGGCAGAGGTCGAAAAGAGCGAGAGCAGCTTGGATGCAGGTGATTACTCACTTGCCAGTGACATGGGACGCTGCTAAAGAAGGATGTGCAACAGCTTGTGCTTCCCCTGTTGCTCTTGAGGCTGGATAGACACTTCAACCACCAGCCTCAAGCTCAGTTGCCTTGCTTCGGAAAAAAAAGAGCGAGCCCTGTTTCTTTCACGGGTCCGGCCACGGCGGAAGACGGATTGAAGCTGATGAAGTTAGGTGCTTGTTTCAGAAGCTTCGGTGGAACATGAATTCGGAGGCAATGACTTAGACAGGATAGACATTCATATTAGCTCCATTTGCTCCATTTGTATTTGACGCGTCGCTAGGACCAAGGAGATCAAGAAGGATAGACGAGTAAAGAAAACGCTGAAGCAGGCGAGCGGTAGGTTTGGTTGGAAAGCATGCAAAATGCTGCGCAGGAGCCAACTTTGAAGAGGGCGACACAGCACGTGCACAAAAATCAAATGCAAGTGACGCAGAATTGAGGCAGTGCAAATATGGAAAGATGTTGGAATCTTGGCACTGAGAGATGTCGGAGCGCAAATGTGCCAGCAAATACTGTTGATGGACGAACTCCTGCACCACTTGGAAACTATGGGAAACCGTTGTTCATTGGTATTTACAGGGGAATCATCGTTCCAGGGTTTCTTAGGTGGTGCGAAATGGATTTCGTCCATCCACAGTAGATGACAAATGATGGCAGCTACAACCTCTTCCCTTAGCTGTTGGAAGAGGATTGGGTTGGTATATCGGAACTGTCGTCAGACACTTAGTCCATCCTCGGCGTGGAACGCTGATGTGAACAACTGCTATTTTCAACATAACAACCCTGAGCATGA